ATGAGGGTACTGTGGAGTTACGATAAATGCTTATTCTAGAGGGGACACAACGATATTGTGATCTAGTTGAGAGCTGGGAAGAGTAGGCTATCCTCAAGGTCGGCGGGGGTGGGTGGGGGGGGTGGAGAAACTTGTTGATGCAGTCTGGCTGGATACGTGCAATATTTAATCTAATTGATGTGTACCCTTCTTCAAATGAGTCACATTTTGTGTGAAATAATCACAAACGTATCTGGGAACATCGTTCACTGTCTAATTGATTTTTATCGGTTGTATTAGGCTGCGGAGTTCCGGGATCGGAGCTTTATCCCCACCCGCAATCTAATTGTTTGGGGTGGCCTAATCTGGAGTTCTATGTACACCCATTTGGCCTGTTTTCTTAACTAACCTATGTTTGATGAGTTTTAATTTATTCGTTCATTAGATTTCTGTAAGTTAGTTGGTTTCACATCTGATCTAATTGTACTATGTCTTGGTTTGTGTGTTTATTCATGGCTACTTTCTACCTTTCTCATTATTTAGGTGGCACAAATCACATACATGCAGGACCTGATCCCATGATTGGTCAATCTGCAGCCAGCACACATCACTATCACTATCCAAATCTGGACACCGGACAGATTGGCAATTCGACCGTTGGTCGACGACCCCGGTTAATCCGTTGTGGATCCGGAAGTCGGCTCGGTCCGAGTCCGGCATTTGTGGACCCCAGGCTACTTCCCCCGGCCACCGCAGCCCTCATCGATCCCATATTTGCTCCTTATGATAATAGCACACTGAGCGGCGAACCGGATTTAGATCTGGAGGATGAATTAGCCCGAGTTTCCGGTCTCGGACCGATACCACCCGGAATGCGTAGACGTGTGAACTCGTTCGAGTCATTGCATCGTCTTCCCGGTGGATGTAAGTTGTGTCCGTTTTCATTGTCTTCGATACCATTGCGCCTGCCTGTGATTTCCCATTTTACAGTTTAAGTTACAATAAATGTACCAAATGTTGTTTCATCTCTTTGGAGTTGATCCGTCCTCCCTATTCGTTTTGTCATCTGATTGTCGAAGTTTCAATTTGAAGTGGAAAAGGTTCATTTGAATTTAACCGGCCATCCTTCCAGCTTCATTTGAGCGCACCATCCTCAGTTCATCCGGTCAACTATACCTACAGGAGTATCCGTAGATTTGAGTATTGTTCTCTCTCTCTCTCTTTCTCGGTCACTACTAGTAGTTCGCATCCAACGCCCCATCTGGGAATTTAAACTACGGACTCCTTGTGATGTATGGCCTAACACATTTGTTGAATAACTCTTGTATACGTTGCTCTCCTTGAGCACGCAATATTAATGCTGCATGTACACACACATACTCATAGATATGCGCACTTACAGACCTACAAACACACACACATATGACACGGACATTCCTCACACGGGACGTTGATTACATTGACCAATCAGACTGCACCACATGTCTGCTTGGTATTCATTGGCTGCTTGCTGCTGCTGACTTGTACAACTCGACCGGGTCAGGACATGCTTTTGGTGTTGTACATGAATTACAGTGCTTCCAGTTTGTGCCCAACTAAAGGATTTACTTCCGTGCATATTACCAGTTCCATTGAATACAATAACGAATTGTATAGAGGGAATGTTTGTTATCACCGTGCAAACCGCCTGGGTTGACCGGCAGTACCTCGATCTAAGTTTGATGTCACCTTTTCAGAAAAAGTCTGTCATTTGCTGGTCTAACATTGTCCAAGGGAAACAGTGGGTGCAGCCTACGATCACTCAAATTGAAAGCTTCTCAGCAAATCAAATATGTCATGAAGATTTAAACGTACATTGGATAATTAAACTAGGCGACCACAATCACAATGGTGTGGAATTTGTCTAAACGGAGTTAAAAGTATCAATTATTAGTCTGGACAAAAAAAAACAGTTCTTGATTTACTCGTTTTGACGAGCATACATGTTGATGAACTCTTACAGCAATGATGATCACTGGGGTTTGGAGTCACAACCGGAACTGATGTGTGACCGGTTGAAATGCGATTGTTGATTCACGGTTTCCTTGATTGTTTTGACCATGTCGTGGACCTTTCAAAACGGTGCTGTCGATCAAGAAAGGTGTGAGGGACACATCCGGATTATCATTATGGCAAATTGAACTCTAAAGGTGGGGTTTAGTTAATCGGAAATTCAACGAGTTGTTGTGTGTGTGTGTGTGTGCTTGACATTAGCGGGAGGGAGAGGGGGAGGAAAGGCATTCTTAATTTATGAGATTCTCTATTGGACAGTCATTGTTGTATTTCTTTATACTTTCCCGCTTTGGTTGATCATAGTTATTTGGAGTTTTCATCCACGTTTCATTTTCATCTTGTAAGTAGATCATAAAACAAAACAAAACAAAACAAATCAAAAATCGTCCTCGGGAAAATGCAAGCCTTTTGACTGATTTCTGATCTTAACTTTCCTCTCTGTTTTTCCAGTATCCCAAACCTATCATCGGGGTTTCGGCGCAGGTGTTCCTGGACGCTCACTTGTTCCAGGGGGTCTGATCTTACCCGGTACAAGGACAATGCTTCCAGCCGGCGCGGTCGGTCCAACCTCAGTTTCTTTCTACGATCCAGGAGTCGGTATTAGGCAACCTGATCCGATGGTCGCCTATCGGGGTAGCGTTTTGTCCAGCACTACTGCTTCATCCAACCAGGATGAACTGATGCAGGCGTACGAATATGGACGTCGCAATCAGCCCAGAGGATTAGTACACAACACTACGCAGCCCAGTCTGCTCCCACTGGGGCCTATGGACCCTCGTCTTAGAGCTCCGAATCGGACTGAATCCATGGATCGAACTCCGACCGTGATTCACCATCCTGGACTCATGACGCAAGTGAGCGCTCCAGCAACCGCAGCGATGGCTAATGCATCAGTTTCAGGTGCTGAACTGGTAGATGTCAGTGGTGCAGGTGGGGGTGGGGGTTCCGGGGAATCCAGTGATGTCACAGATTCAGGTATTCGACAATTCACTCAACAGCCACCGAAGCCAGATGAAGCCAGACACGCTACATGTGAAGTGCCACTGATGTACGACGGTGCTGGACCCAGTTCCGCTGCCGGACCGGGAGGATTTCGTTCACGACCGGTCGCTGGGCGCAATCGAACCGATGGTCGTCACGGCTTCCCGTCACAAACGGGTGATGCGGACTGGTCGTCCGAGATGACCGACACGTATGCCTCCGTTGACTATAACGGTACCCCTTACGGACCGGGATCCTCAGTCGCTGGTGCGGGTCTGAGTCGAGCGGGGCTACAGAAAGGAACACGAGGATTGTACGGAGCTAATGGTACAGCTGGTCTGCTGCCTGTATCTACTCGGGCACGGCAACCACTTCCTGCATTACCTGGCACTGCAACCACCATTGGCTAGTGAGTTATAAATCAATATTTCCACCACTTCCCCCAATCTCGACCCACTTTTTTGAAGAATAAAAAGGGACAGTTCAGTATATCTCATCATCCTCGATGCAAGTGACTCAATGATTCAGGTTATCAGTTTTTTTGGCATACATTATTAGATGTAAAATAAACAGCAAAGAGCTTTGTGTGTCCGTCCTGTCCTCCGATGTGATCGAGTCAAATCAAATGTCATTATATTTCCTCTCCACTGTGCATCCATTATTCATCTCATGTATGTGACTTTTCTCCTTCTTCCTTTGCGCCCCCCCCCACACGCTCCACCCTGTCCTCGTCTCTCCTCTGCACGTGTGAAGTCCGGATCCGTCCGCATATGGAACGCGTTACGGACCGGCACAAAGCGGTCCCTATTATCCGGCCACTGCCGGTCGACCAACTGCATTTAATCCGACGCGTTCGTCCGAACAGATGAGACGGAGAGGACAACCGACCGGTACCGGTAAGTTTCTCTCGCCATCGCGAAGAAAAGTAGCGAAAGAAAAAGTGTTTTTTTCTTTCTTTTTTTTTTTNGGGGAGGGGTTGGAGGGAAGGGCAGGGCTAGGTTCTTTGCTCTCGAGGTAGTCAATTTTCAATACATTGCCCAACTGTATTTATACTCAGTTCGAGATCCCATTCGTCAACTGTATCACTCTATGCCACTTCAACTCCGAGTGCAACTTGTGATGACTTCAACCGTATACGCTAATTGCATTCTATTACGAACCGCATGACGTGGTTGGTTAGGACACGCCTCCTCCTCTTCCCCCCTGTAAACCGGTTCGGTCACAATACCAGTCTATTCAGAATGAACTAATATCGTCATAAATGAACAAATGTTTTTCAACGATTGCGGCTGGTCATCCTTCTCTTGCACCTAGCGAAATGCTCCCATACGACCAAGTGTCTCAAAACGCCTTTGCTGAGAAAGCTCTGCTCACTGCGTTCTGGTGGAGGTGTTTTCCCACCCATGTGAGAGGACGAAAAGCCGACATCTATGGCTACAATTGGATTGGTGGTGGTAGTTCACCTAGGGAAGTTGGCCAAAATCCTGATTTCAACCAACCATGATGAGGCTTAAGAACCACACTGATCCTCACTCTCCTCGGTGTGGCAGTGGTCACCGGCTCGCTTGGGCATCGAGGTGATCCGATGAACTGGACACCAGTCCCCAATGGATTGCGGTTTTTGCACACCGCCCGGCTGCAGACACACATTTGATCGACTTTCACACACACACACGATTTCCCTCTCATTGACTGTGTATTTCGGATGACGTGGTTCTTATTGGATTTGCCCAAATCAGTTATCTCCGGTGACAGCATAACAGAGAAAGCAGTCTGGATTTTCTCCCATGTACCATTCACTTATCTCTGCACCCTTGTGGCTCGTATTCCATCCAGCTCAGAGCCACTTTCTCTTCGTGCTCGATCGATCCAATCGCGGTAAGGTGTTTTCTTCTCTCTTGAATTCCAACATCCTCCGCTTTACTGTCAACTGTACAGCAGATCGCACATTCTAATTACCAGATTTTTTAACAGTGTTCATCCCAAGCAACGAAATCCGCCTATGTTCATTCTGTTTTCAGTGGATCCACGAGACCTCACCGTCAGTGCAACTGGAACAGCCGCAACGGGGCGAATTCAAACCTCTTTGTTGGACGATTCCGATAGGTCAGTATTTATGTCTCAGTGTGCGTTTTTCCCCTACCCCGTTCATGATTGTGGAACAAAAGAAGAAACTGTATGCTCTTGTGGTTGAATGGTGCTCAACAGATTCACCGCGTGGATTTNNATTTTATTGATTGAAGATAAAGCTTTGTCAGAAACGCACAGATTACAAAATACCAAAACACCAAAAATGGGCCCGCTAGCTCAGTTGGTCATAGCACCGTGCTAATAACGCGAATGTCGTGGGTTCGATCCCCATCCTGGTCATACGCATCTTCCTTTTTGGGCAGTGGTGGACCGATGGTAACGTCAAAAAATTATCACCCCATCGGGATGTGTGTGTTCGAATCCCTCTCAACACCACCGCCTGACTCTCCCCATTGTGTGTCCTATGGCAGCCCCTGGATTGGCCGCTTCCCACTTCCTGAAAATTGTATCTTTGTATATTAAATAAAGGAAAATGAAATAATTAAAAAATTACTAAAAACACGTTACAGATTATCGATGCATAGGTCCATAGACGACTGACTGATTGATATACGTTTCTCAATAAACTTACGAAAGAATTTGTCCGGTGGATGAAAAGCAAGCTGCTTAGTCCTTGGTCCCGGGCGGTGTCAGTGTCCCGGCTGAAACTCGAACCGGGTTCGGAGCTGAAACTCTCACTTCTAAAAGCAATACACACTGCACGCATGTTCTCGTTCCGATTCCGCAAGTGTTCACATACACTAGGTTGTGTGTATTGTTTTTTGTTCTATGTACGACGGACCACTTTTTTGTCGATTATGATTATGATTATGATTATTTTCTTCTTTTGCAATCAGCTATCCGTCCGAAGTGCGAACACTATTACCCCGATCGATCACGGGTGGAGCTCCTCCGATCAGTGGTCGAACCAATCGACCACGCGGTCCACCGGTGGGCAGTGAGCAACAGCAACAGCAACATCCGCCGACTAGTAGCAGCACAATCGCACCGATTCCGAGTGGCGCTCCCCGACCGGATTCAGGAACTGAGGAAAATGTGTACACTTCCGAGTTCGTACTTGTATGATGATAGACCAGACAGACAGACAGACAGACAAATCTACATCTACTTTTAACCCAACCTTCGACTGTATACATTGCTTCCCCGGCTGTCTCTCTCTCTCTGTCTCAGAAAAACAAACAAACAACGGAGACAAAATTTTAACTTCCTTCTTCGCTCTTATGGTTCTGAACAACGGTGAATCAGAATAGAATTGGAGCGAAAGGAACGAGAAGTGCGATTATCCAAGCCGACTAAGGGACAAACACATGTATACTGTCCGTATTGTAACCCTTAACCTTGACATTGACCAATCAGCACAATGCATTTTCTCACCACCATTACTGAACTGGCACACTGTGCATAGACACACACGCACACACCCACAGACAACATGGAACCGTGCAGTTTGTCTCAGTTTGTGCTCAAACCGAGTTGAAAGAAGTGGTTAGTTTTTTTTCTTTTTTTTTTCTCTCTCTCTGTCGCACATACTCATTGTCTTGTTTTCGTTCGTTCTTTTGGCCTTTTCTATCTCTTGCGGTCTCTCTCTCTCTCTCTCTCTCTCT